ACAGACACAAAAAGAAAAAAAAAACACATCATTGTAAAATCAGTATACATTCATCACTTCGTTCAGAATCTAAAATATCAGTATATCACACGGATAGATCTAATTAGTTATAAAATGTAACATACTCGTAATAAATTAAACATTTTCAGTGTAACAAGTAATTTTCATTTATATGGTACATTCATCGTATATGGTACAATAAGAACAACTCATAAGGAACCTTGTATTAAATTTTCAAGTTTTTTTGGTCGTCTAACATTTTTTTACCGGCACTTGAAAATTTCAGTGGTCTATAAATAACTCAAAAAAAGTCAAAGTAGTTATGCTGTACACAGACACAAAAACAAACAAACAAAAAAAAAACAACACACACATCATTGTAAAATCAATACATTCATCACTTCGTTCAGAATCTAAAAATGATATAACAAATAAAAACTGAATTTATAATTTAGTTTGATGGGTTTCACCCATTGCTGTCCGCAGGGTGTGCCGGGGGCACGCTCCTCCCGCTTTTTTAGTTATTATTAATAGTGTTCTCACTTATCAGATATCTTTAAACTTCTCTAAAATGTGAATAATGTTCGCCATCGTATTAATTATAATTTATACTATGCATAGTCACCATATGGTCACTTCTACTAGCCAATAGGCACATTTTTTGTCTCCGTATTTGTCTAGTGTCTGTGACCGAGATGTAGTATTACCCATATGGTTATATGTGATTCCAATAAACCTCTTCTTACCAACAACTTAGTTATTACAAAGGTACAATATCTCGTTAAAAATAAATCAAATAAAATAAATGAATAAAGTAAAATCAATAACCACAATACCTATGTTTAATGTTTATATATCATCTATATTTTTTCTAATTTTCTAATTTAATTTGATATTTATTTATTATTCATTATTAGTTATATATAATTATATATAATTATATACTAACCGATTTTAATCATTAATCATAATTCATAATGTATAGTATTATTGATATAAGTAGTGATAAACAATGGTGTATTACTATTTACTATTCCCATGTATAAAATTGTTATTGTCGAGCCTTTATTGCTTGTTGAAATAAATAATGACCAAATTACATTTCAATTAAAAAATAAAAAGATAAAGTTTTTTTTTCTATATTTACGTTATTGACCTGCCATCATTTCAATAAATTTAAATTGTAATTATCATTTGGATTTGGTCTAATATGGGTTGATATAACTATTTAACTAAATAGATACTTATACAATATTTAGTTGTTTTATAGTTCTATTATATGTTATAGTTAACTTTTAACTACAAGTCTATATTTATAACGCTGCAGGTAGGCATGTTTAGTTATTTATATCTAGAATTTTGATTTAAAATAAATACAGAATAAAATCTATAGGATTATGTTTTATCATAGTAACTTATTTTTTTTATTTGAATAATTTCTACAAAATATATATTTTAATATGATTAATTATTGCAGTAAACCACTCCACTTGAAAACATTATTAGCATAATTAATTTAATTATAAGTAGATTATATTACAAAAAAATAGTAACTATAGTTATACGTATTGTATTAAAAAATAGAAAATAAATTGACTTTGTTGTTTTTAAAATACTATACCAGTTCACAAAGATGTCTTACAAAAATTTAAAATAAAACGGATGGTGTATTAAGTCAACCAATAATTTTTTATTTTATTAACACAAATTTACCCTCGGCGACATAGATCATTGAGTTACAATTTTGGGTTATTATTTACATCAGCAATTGTATATACAATTATGCAATTATTTATACAGTATTTATATTTTGTATTGCAATTCAGCCTCTGCTGTGATAAACTTGAAGGTGGCTAAGAGCGATGAACTGTTGAAGCCGAGTGATTCTGATAAATGTTCTTTAAAATTTGTGGCCAATCTTGAGTATAATCGACATTTGGTCATCATTTGTTTAATTGTTAGATTGGTGCCGCGTATTGGACATATTGGGGGATGATTTTTACTCATTAGATGGCTTTGAGTAATATGTTTTAACTTTTATTTTGTGGAGTTTCGTGCGTACGGAATTCCAGTTTGCCTGCCACATATATTGCAGGTACAATGCAACTAATAACAATTCTAATATTACACAATTCAGATAATTCTAGCTTGTACAATTGCCAATTGGTATTAGATTTCTCATTTAAATAGCTTATAATATATGAACAAAGATTACTGGATTAAAGTAATAGATATGTTATGTATGCTATAGATAACTTTTCAGTCAAAATATTTACCAATTTTACAAAGAAATTATTATTTAATGCACTTTTATAGTTTTATTCTTAAAAAATATATGTCTAGGCCTTAATTTCTGCCAATGAATAAGTGCCTATAATACTAACTTCGGTGTTGATATTAGGACTAGCCCGACTAGGTATATAATTGGAATATATAATATTATTCTTTTATATTTTATAAATATTAAAATATATAAGATAATATACATCGACTATTTTTATTTCATTAGACTTGATGACTATTGCTATCTTAAAATACTTATTAAAATAAATTAAACATATTAAAAAGACTAACAATTAAATAATTAGGATAGCAGTTAACATGTAATTAAACATATTAAAAAGATAAACAATGTAAATATAACATAAGTAGGTAATTATCTGACACTCGAGTCAAGACTCATGAGTAGTCATTATATTATTAAGTTTTGTCATGATAAGATTGTTGGTTTATAATTTTATATGCGTATGACGTAAGAATAGTATTGATGGAGCTATATTAGTTTTTAGTTTATAATTTGCATTGCTTAAGCTAACATGTTGAAATTATTGTTCTTAATTGTGTCTTTCTCTTGCGTTTTTACGCAGGATGCAACAGAGAAAATGGATATATTTCGTTTGCCCAACAACACCGAACCGATATCATATACGTTAAATGTACAGACTTTTATTGAACCAGAAAATAATAATTTCACATTTATCGGTACCGTCGTCGTAACGATTCGGGCAAAAACATCAACGGAAGAGATAACTTTGAATGTAGTTGATTTAAAAATAAATAAAATCAATGTAAAGGATACTGAATCGTCCACTGAAATTGAGGTGTCTGGAAATCACGTCGTGGTTAATAATGAACAACTCATTATTCAACTTAAGACACCGGGACTTATTGCCGATCGAGTRTATGAAGTTAAAATCGCATATTCTGGAGAGTTACGGAACGACATGTCTGGTTTCTATAAAAGTTGGTACAAGAACGAAAAGAATGATATGAAGTGAGTTTTTTTTCAATTATTTTTAGGTATAAATAATTCGTCATTTCCTAGTACATATTATAATACTTATATTTTATATATTGAAAATAAAATATGTATAATACCTAGTACCTACATAATTATTCAAATGCTAAATTACTTGAAACGTCATAATATAACACAAATATTTGTTCCTCTTTAAATGATTTAAAAATATTTACAGTTCAAAATGTACAATTCTTGTATTAAATATTAATATATTAATTTTGCATTTTACTAACTTACTTCAAAATTACTCTTGAATTATAGTAATTTACAGTTAAAAAAAAAAAAAACCAATAATATTAACTGTTTAATAATGACAAGGACAATGTGAAATAAAAATCCAATACAATTTTTGTTTAGATTTAAAACAATATAAAACTTTTAAAAGTTTAATTTTTACTATCCACTCATTGAAAAAGTGGGCTAAGTTTACAGTTGTTGACTTGAATCTTACATATTTAAAATTTGCTATTGCAGATTCGAATTCGACAGAAGTCAAAAATTCTCAATAGTTTTAAAAAGCGGCAGGAAAAACAAATAAAAAATTAAGCAAAACCAGTGTTCTACAAAATCGATTTTGGTTTTTGGTGTAACTCTAAAACAAATGACCACAGATACAAATAAATTTTCACTGAATGTTTATAATAGCATTTCATATACACCATMAAATTTTCAAAATATTTCGACTTATTCTGAGCTGTGTATGGACATTTTCAGTTCCCAAATATTTTAGTTTTTTTTTTAAATGTTAATAAAATTTTTTTGTTGGGTGAAAACTCAAAAAGCTTGACAATTTTATACACAGTGCCTCATAAGTTGATATAATCGCTGGAAAATATTAAAATGGTTACACAGTTACGTTTTTTTTCAACAAACGTTTAAAATTCAAATTTTGATAAAATTTGTTAAATTTTCAATTTAGTATTATTTAGTTAAAATATTCTAGACTGACAAACCATCTCCGCTCAGAATAGTTTTTTTTATACAATGATATTTTATCTTTGAATTCAAATTTAACACCATCCATATTACTGCAGTTACCCACTTGTAATCTACTAACCTAGATACTGTAAAACAGATTGACATCCACTCACCTGCTTTTTAATATTGTATCCAAGTAGAATTTTGGAGTACAGGAAATATATTTTTGTTTATAGCAGTACACACGGCTTTTTTTACAAGTTATCACTAGTCAATTTTAAAACTCTAATTGCAATTTTCAGTATTAATTGTAATTGTTTTACAATGCAAGCAAAATATGAAAATAAACAAATAACAATATACTCGTAATTTATGTTCTTTTGTAATTGTATCCATGTCACTATGTCAGTACTCAGTACTAAAGTGGGACAGACTACGGTTTCTCAGAATAGGTATTTAATATTTATTTACTAGGACACAAATTAACAGAGAATGAATTTTTATAGTTTATTATTTACTTGAAAAATCTAAATTATTAAAATGCTTATGCAGTGTATTTGAGCGCCCCTATCCGAAAGTAATAAAAAAATAAAGTAATATTAAAAATAATACCTATAGTTACTTTTATTATTTTTAACATGTTATATCTTATTAGAAACAATACATTTATCATGTAAGTACAGAAATGTAAATATTTTAGGCATATTTTTATGTTAAAACTTTTTTATTCTACGGAAGTACAAGGTTAAAGGTAGGTATATAATATGTGTGGCCGTGTAGGTATACATGCAGTGATGTGTTTCCTTTTAAAGGTAACACTTTAAATAATTCTGTCCAGTGATATTGGATTGAGATGGGGTTGTTTTTTAATAGTTAGGGACTATTGAAATACACATTTTTTCAAATTTTCAAATTTTCATCTTTTTATTGTGCGCATGCGTAATACAACTTGCATTTTTTTAAGTGGGAACAGCTACTTTTAACAACAGATTTGGATAGAACGAATATTTTTAAGTCAATTTRATCCTCTTACCATACCTCTAAAATCAAAATTGACAAAACTATAATAACGAGTTAAAGTTTCGATTAAAGTTATTGCATTTCTTAGTAAATTAACTAACATTTACGTCTAATTGAGGTTAATTAATTCCTCAAAATTAAATTCAAATTATTTAATGTCTGCAAACCTATGGATACAAAAAAACAAAAATACTTGAAATTGCACGATAATACCTGAAATTCTATGATGAATGTTAAGAAATTCGATAATTTTAATCGAAACTTTAACTCGTTATAGTTTAGTCAATTTTTGATTTGAGGTATGGTAAAGAGGATCAAATTGACTTAAAAAATTCGGTCTATCCAAATCTGTTGTTAAGAGTAGGTAGGTATAGGTAGTATATCATTTATAATATATTTTATATACTTACATATAATTATATAATTTGTATTTTTTTTTTAGATGGTTAGCTGTTACTCAGTTTGAACCTACATATGCTAGAAGAGCGTTTCCGTGTTACGACGAACCAGCATATAAAACACCCTTTACAATTTTTATCACAAGATTGGAAAATCAAATTTCTCTGTCAAATATGCAAATTGCAGAACAAACTATTATACCGTAAATTCATGAAATATAATTATTAAAAAAACATGTTCGACAAACATAGATTCGAACATACAACAACACTATACACATAACAATTTTTATATTTTAATTAAAGCTCATATTTTGTAGATCAACGGAAGGACAACCTAAATATGTATGTGATCAGTATCAAACTACAGAACCGATCTCAACGTATTTAATAGCGTTTTCAGTATCGGAATTTGTAAATACAACAAAAGATCAAAGAATTTTAATTTACACCCATGCAGACTATATTGATCAAGTAACATACATCAACGAAAGGGCAAATAAATTACTGAATCTTATGGAAATTTATACAAACATACCATATACATATTCGAAAATAGGCCTTTTAGCAATTCCAGACTTTTCGTTAGGTGCAATGGAAAATTGGGGATTAAATACATAMAGGTAAATGTATCCAAATATTTGTTATAACATTTATATCATAATTTTTATTATTTCCAACGTTATTTTTGAATTATTAGTAACAATATAATTATGTTTTTACGGCTTGGTGTGGCTAGAGGTTGGCGTTAGCCGCACTAACGTGTTCTGAGGTCAAACGACAGCCGACGTCACTAGTTCCTGGATGAGCCTGATTTTTAGTGATGAATTTAATACTAAAATTATTATTCTCCATCGTTTTTATAATGAATGATTTTAATCTATGATTACTCAAAAATATAAAATTAATGATTCTGCTTAAATGTGTTTTGTCTATGTCACGCGTGGGCCAGAGAGAGAAAATCGAACAGTATAATATGTGATGCTGACATTCTCTTATGATAATATATTATAAAAAAACCTTTTTCACGCATCCAATTATCAATTAAAATTCGATTGCACCTTATACCAAATGTCTAAAACTTTTAAGTCTTAACTAGAACACTTTCAATCAGATACATAGTTATATATACCTTTATACTATACCTACGTAGTACCTATCATAATTAAGTGTATTCTCGACCTAGAGTACTCCATTTTTTATAAACTATAATAGTTCTTGTCATATTATATTATTATGTTTATTTTTTAATTTAATTTATTTATTCATGGTAAGATATTTTATTCTTAATAAGGCTGGTAGGTATTTATAATTTATGTATAGGTAATAGTTTATAAAGCTTATATAAGAACTCCACTCATCTATAAGGTAATTTACAATAAGCATAATAATATAATATAATATATAATATATGCATTTATTATATGCATTTCTGAACTTGAATTTATATGAGTTTAAGGAACTACCCAACAGTAGTACTTATGACTTGAGGGATTTAAATGTGTGAGTTATTTGAATTTAGTTTTTACGTTTTTGCTAAGTATTTGCACCAGTTTCTTTTTTATCTTCTTGGCGGGCCTCCAGGTATGTTGGTAGAGTCAAGGGCGAGGATCAGAAGGTTTGAGTGGTTTGATAGTCGGGAGTGAAATAATTTGTAGGATGATTTTGCTACTTCCAGAACTGTTTGGATGTTTAAATCGGAGTGGAGTGTGTGATTTGAAATGTAAAAAGGTGCGTTTGTAGTCATACGGAATGTTATAGATTGAAAACGTTGTATTTAATTAATGTTAGATTTTTTGGCAGAACTCCATAATTGGATGCCATAAGACCACATTGGTTTTAGTAATGTTTTTTATAGTAGGAGTTTTTTTGTTTCTTAAGCTAATTGAGTTTTTACCGAGGAACATATGGAGGGATTTTCGTCTGATGTTCAATTGAATTCGTTTTTTTATTTAAGTGTTCAGCCCAGGTTAAACGTTTATCTAGTATTAGACCTATTTAACGTAAGTTAGATGTTTGAGGAATGATTTTATTTTTAGAGTTA